CTTCCAAACCTTAACTGGGCTTTAAAGGAAATGCAGTACTGTGTGGGACCATTATGTCCGACTTCAGGGTTATCATCCACCTAGATCAAGACCGTCAAACTCCTGACCCATGGCCACGCCCATGCCCAGTTTAGTGAAGGGAAAAAAAGTCCCAATATGTCAAGTGACACCACCATGACGACATGAGTGTGATACCCCTGATCTAGATGGTTGTTTTTTGTAATTATCAACAACTAATTGTGACTCAGTTCATTAGCAACAGTGGGTTGGGATTTGTTTTTGACAAAATATTTCTCCTTTCAGTGCAGCTACAGTTATGCATATGGTTGATTCAGAGTTCCTAAGGGTGTTATATAAAATGTGAATAACAGATCAGAAGTGTTGGGATTCTTAAACGTTTGTGGAAGGAAATTCTAAGTGCTAAAACATATGGAATGGGCAACTCACTGCTTTTCCTGCTTCCTTCTCCATTTCCCAAATGGTTCTTATCTATAGCCTCCTCCCTTCACTGGAGTTAGAAATGTTAGGGCAAATAGACGCATGTGCCTTTTAAGTATCCTGGGCTACAATTCTTTGCCACTATGTTAAATACATAAGGAATATGGGTACTATAATCCAGCACATCTGCCAGAAATAGGAATAGCAGGTAAAGAGTAAATTTGGAACACTAGAGCAGAGGTGTGGGGGGATGGGGGGTGGACTAGATGACCTACAGGGGTCCCTTCCAATTCTGATTATCTGTTATGCTCCCTTTACAACCTGTGGACTTCAACTCCCAGAATTCCAGAGCCAGCATGAGTAGCTCAGGAATTCACTGTCATAATGGGGAGGGGGTAGTTGCCCATTCCTTCTCTAGTCTAGAGAGATCCTTGGGGATGAGGTAGAGTAGAGAAAGGGTTTGTGGGGAAAGGGTTAAGCATCCTACCTCTTTAAGTGTTCCCAAACTTCTCCCTCAAAGCCAACGTTTTTTTTTTTTTGGAAAAGCAGTACCAGTGTTTTGCTACCCACAGGTGCCTGAAAGCAATAAAGCAGCCATCCTCTTCTAGAAACGTTCCTCAAGCAGTGTTGATTGGATGGAGAGAAAAAAAGCAGTAGAAAACTTAGAGCGGGGACCTTGGGTAGAAGGAAGAAGCCAGGAGGCTTTTAATTGTCCCAGGTCATTGTTTTGGCATTGCCATAAGCTTGTTCTGGTCTGTCCAGATTGCTGGTCAAGCGAATCAGTGGGTTGCTGATGGTGATAATGGCAAAAAGGAGAGAGACCAACACTCGAAGTTCCAGCTGCTCAAAAGTCCAGTGAATGAGGGGAACAGGACTTTGGCCTTGGTGTCCTAACCAAGTTTTGTTGAATAAGGTTGGCATAAGATTATTTTAATATAACATGTCTTGCTTTCCCATTTATTGAATATTCAGCAAAAAAAAATTTCCATGACATTTTTTTTTCCTGGCACCTATATAGGAGAACATGCAATTGAACAAGCTTCCCACACAATTTCACAGATTTGCACATCATCTGCATTTATATGTGTAAAAGAATACTGTAGTTCAAAGTATTTATGTGTTTTCATATTACTATGTTATTAAACCCATAAATGCATCTTCCCTTCTTTTTCCATGGTTCATCTCTACCTGCTGAAATTTTGACAGCGGTTTGTGCCACCCGCATATCTCAGAACTACAAGTTCCTGACAGAAATCCCATACTATGCAAAATACATCCAGGAAGATTCCCGTCTTACACTATTTTAAATGTATAAATATTTAAACTGAAATTGAACATTTTAAGTAAAATTGCTTGGAGCATTACACCTTTCACCATTTGCATTATGCTATTGGTGACATTTTAAAGGAAAATGTGGGGATGCACATGAAATCCAATTATAATTTGTATCCATAGAACAAGCTGCTGAAACAATCCATGCATGGTCCTTCTGTTTTTATCCATGTTCTGTTGCATAGGGGTATTTTAGAAAGAACCAACTAGGAGAAATAAAAATGCAGCTGATGATATTCAGTAGTGTTGATGCAGACATTACATTCAGGTTTTCTATATATTAGTCAGCAAAAAGATGGTGACCCAAAATAATTGCCTGAAAACAAGGATTTCTTTTTTAATGCAAGATTTAGTTGGAAGGAGAAATCGTGTTTGCTTGTGAAGATGGTCTTTGGGAACTGGGAACTCAAAAATTCACTAGGGCATATTTGTAGCTTCTTGGGGTTCATTGGCTTTATTTCTGAATGTTATTAAACTTTAATTAGGGTTTTTTCCCCCAGTTGGGACCAGATTGGTGGCTTCTTTAATGATACTTTTAGTCACAGATATTTCATATACCTTTGCTCCCAATAAGGTTTTAGATAAGCTAATTGTATTTGGACTTTTTTTGGGGTGGTGGTGGTGTTAAATTACTTTTTCCTAAATTACTAGCATGATGGAATTTACCTGGAAAGAAGGTCCTACAATTTTTTTTACTGAAACATTTCTATACTTGCTAGAATCTGTAGAAGGAATCTTTGAAAAAGCAATTGACCAGCTTGAAGAGAATCCAGATATCATAGAATCAGGTTGGTGCTATTTGCTTTATTTTCTAAACTACTATTAGTTTCCCTTTGCATCATCTAACTTAAAACAATTTTTATTCAGTTTAAAGCCTTGAACAGCAGAAATTGTTTGTATTTCCATCTTTGAACTGTACCTTTTGCTTCTATTTGAGTGTCTGATGCTGACCAGATGAATGATTTGGTTACATGGATAATTTACTTTCTCCTCTACAACTGATAAATTATATATTCTAGCAAAAACAACAGCTAATTTGCTGTTCCAGAGAGCGTGTTGTTGCTGCTGGTCTGTTGCATGGTGTTGCAAAGCCTTGATGGTGCTTGGAACAAAAGGGCAGCTGAGGCTTTGGATTGGATTGCTCCTATGCACCTGGTCACTCCCATGGAGAGATGTAACAGGAGAAGAGACATCTAGGGTGCCCACAAAGGACGAACTTAGCCAAACATGGCTGAATATGGGTTAGAGAAGCTATTATGGCCTACCTTGGGGCAGTACTTCTCCATCCTTATTGCATTTTCAGAATACCACACCACAACTCTTTTTAACTTGATATGAGCCATTAAGGGACCCCAAGGAAACTCCTGCAGGAGCATATGGAGGAATTTGCTCAAATTTGCTCAAATTCGCTTGCATTTTGGATGCTTGCCTTATTGCAGATTCAGGAGATGCTAGAGCAATAGCAATAGCATTTAGACTTATACACTGCTTCATGGTGCTTTACAGCCCTCTCCAAGTAGTTTACAGAGTCAGCATATTGCCCCCAACAATCTGCCTCCTTGTTTTACTGAACTCAGAAGGAGGGAAGGCTGAGTCAACCTTGAGCCAAATCGAACTCCTGGCAGTGAGCAATGAGTTAGCCTGCAATACTGCATTCTAACCACTGTGCCTCCCCAGCTCTTTTAGGGATTCTTCTCCAGTTATCTCAGGAACCTGCTGGATATGAGGGAAGTGGCCAGGATCTTTAGGACTGTGAGCTGAGTCACAAGATCCTTAGATCCATGCCCCTCTTGGCTTGTGAAGCGGCCCATGAAGTATCGTAAAACGGGGACTCGGCAGTGATAAATTCTTTGAGTAAGGGAGTTGTGCCTTTATCTCTTAAAGATATCTTGGTTCAAGTCCTCCTCAAAAAGCCATCACTATTTTTGCCCAGGATCCCATCCCCCCTTTTTGGGAAGGCATTGAGAAGTTGGCTGTGCAGCAATTTCAGAAGATCCTGATGAAGCAGATTATCTGGATCTTTTTCAGTCAGGTTTCAGAACTAGGTATGGAATAGAAATGGTATTGGTCACATTTTTGTGTGATATCTGGCACGGGCAGAATGGTGGTAGTACATCCAACCTTTCCTTACTTCACCCCTCGGCAGCCTTCAATTCATCAAACACGGGATCCTTCTTTATTGGGACTGGGTGGCATGATGTTGTGCTGGTTCACTTCTTTCTTCTGGGGTCGATTCCAGTTGGTGGTGATTGGGGAGGAGGGATCCTATTCCTGGTACCTACCTTGTGTGATCCCACAGAAGTTAGAGCTCTCTATTATTCAACATCTACATAAGATTACTGGGTGAGCTCATCCATTGCCATAGAGCAAAGGCCCTTGGGCTGAATCCAGCCTGTGGGGTGCTTACATCTGGCCCATGAGGCCACCCTGGAAACAGCAAAGGACCAGCCTGCGGTACCTCTGCCAGTGAAAATGGAGCTCGGGAGGGCCACAAGCGGACCTCTGGAGATCCATTTTTGCTGGCAGAGTGCTTGGGCCATCACAGGTGCCTTGACATGAGTGACATCGAGCTGCCCCCCCACAAGGTCAAACACAACCTTGATATGGCTCTTAATGAAATTGAGTTTGACACCCCTGCCATAGAGTGAGATGTCATCAATATTCCTTTGGTCATTTGGGGAAAAGTTGGAGAAAAAGAATTGCTGTAATGAAGTAGTTATTTCTATTCAGTGCTGCAAAAGAACTGTTTTTATACCTGCTTTGTAAGAGGGAGTACCCCAGATGTTTATCTAATATTAGAGTCTAATGGACTCAGTCCAAAAATGTGTGATAAAGATCTATGTAGCACTAGATTCTTAAAACATTAGAGCATTAGCAAAGGAAAAAAGGATTTCTGAAGAAATATACAGGAACTCTGAATATTAACATTTTGAATGTTAACATTTGAAATGGATTACTTTTCTAATCTTTTTGTTGCTATTTATTTTTTTAAATACTTTTACATACAGTAATAAAGAAGAAAACAAAAAACTATTTAAAAGACTGGTAAATTATTTGGGAATCCAAGTAATCAGTTCCAAGAATCTTTATGGGTACTATTACATAAACATCTGGTATGATGGCAAGGTCTTGATTCTTGTTTTAGTCAAAATTCAATGATGCTAAATTGTAAAATGAAAATGTAGAAATTATCGACAATTGAAAAGTTCAATTTAGAAAACACAAAGTATAGCAAAGATTATTTTATTATGATGGAAGGTCAGTGTCACCCTCAACATAAAATCTTTGACTTTGTTCATTCTCTGCTTATGGACAGTGCGATGGAAAGATAGGGCAATGTTATTCATGTGGTAAAGGTTTAACATTTTAATAAACTGTGTTTTAAAAATATGTGTAATGACATGATTTCTACTTAAAATGGTGTCTAAACAGAATAAAAAAAATCAGTTATATTGAACTGAAATTCACAAACAAGGTACATTTGCACATATCTGTATTAACCATTTCAATATTGGCCAATTATTCAAAGACTAAACATGACAAGTACAAAGGTTAGTCTTAGCTTGGGAAAGCTCAGCTAAAGAATATATTTTTGATCCAGATTTTGTTCCCATTTTTTTTTCTGGACAAGAGGGTTTCTGTTCATGGAAAGTGGTGCTAAACATAAACCTGTATTACTTTAGCATGTTTGGCAGATCAAATTATCATGAATTTTTATATAAATCTTTAGAACAAGACCCTACAATTATAGACTTGTATGTGGATTGATTTTTGAGAGATTCTGTAAGAAAGCATGAGCATTTCTCTAAATCAGAAAATGAACATTGGATTACCAGAATGTTCCTTTTCTTCTGTGGCGTAGAGAGTCCAGATAGATTGGGTAATACCAGTTCCTGCTCTGGTGGACTGAGTCTGTGTGAAAACTGTTGCTCCGCCCTTCACTGTCCCATGGCCAGCAAGAGTCTGGTCCTACTCACATTGGTGCTCATGCACGCTTTGTAGAACCCTTCTGCCAAAAGCTGCATCAGCTGATGCAAACACATCCAGGTGGTAATGCCAAAGGAAGGGAGATGGTGAAGACCATGTGGCCACTCTGCAGATCTCCTCAATGGGTGCCTGAGTAGCCCATGCCGCCGTAGTTGCTTCACTTCTAGTCGAGTGAGCCATCACTCCTCAAGGCACCAGAAGAGCCTTGCTCTGATGAGCTTTGGCAATGCAGGCCTGAATCCACCTGCCCACAGTTGTTGAAGACACCTTTAACCCTAATGCGCTAGGTTGGAAAGACACAAACAGTGTCTCTGACTTGTAGATAGGACGAATCCGTTGGATGTAGATCCTTAAGGCTCTACATACATCCAGGGAGTGCCATGCCCATTCCAAATTATGGGAAGGATTGGGGCAAAAATTTGGAAGAATTAGCTTTTGAGCCCTGTGGAATCTGGAGTTAATATTGGGGATGAAAGCCGGGTCTAACCGAAACACCACTCTATCCGGGCGGAAAACACACAAATTCTCCCTAACTGATAGGGCAGCCATCTCTGAGATCGTCCTAGCCGATGTGATGGCTACAAGAAAAGCCACCTTGAGTGACAGGTGGTGTAAATTCATGGATCTAAGCGGTTCAAACGGTTCAGTCATTAACACCTTAAGAATTTTGGGGAGATCCCAAGTAGGGAATTTATGAACCACCAGAGGTCTAAGGTTGGTGGCCTCTTTCAGAAACCTCCGAATAGTGTGGTTTTGAAACAGGGAACCTTCCTGTGTAAGAACAATACTAAAGAAAGGTCGGCCACCTGTCTTCATAATGTGTAAGTTGATAGCCCCTTTTCAAAGCCCTCTTGTAAAAAATCTAGACTATTGGCCACAGAGGCTGAAGTGGGGGAAATTTTATTCTTGATACACCACTGGCAGAAGACCTTCCATGTGGCTTGGTAGATCTTGGTTGATAGTATGGTCTGGATGACCTGATCTGAAATATTCAGCCTCCTCAGAGCACTCCGCTCAACCGCCACACAGTCAGCTGGAACCACTGAGGTTCCAGGCGAGTTACTTCTCCTTGGTGAAGAGCTACCTTGTGCAATGGGATTCTCCATGGTTGAGTGATCAATAAGTTCACCAGATCTGCAAACCAGGGGCGTCTGGACCAGTAAGGAGCCAGAAGTATGACCTCCTCCTCCAGTATCTTTCTGATTACTGCTGGCAGCAGTGGAAGAGGAGGGAAGGCATACAGGAGCCCCTGAGGCCAGCGGCTCCTGAGAGCGTTGGTCCCCTTTTTCCGATCCTGAGAGAGGAATACTTTACAAGTCAATGTATCGATCTTTGCGCCCAAATGTAATAAACGTATAGTTGGTGAGAAATGAGTTTTCTTGTTGTTAATGGAAAAGCCATGTTCCTGTAGCAGGGAAACTGTTGTATGGAGATCCTTTAGGGACCATTCCTGTGAGGATGATTGGATCAAAATATCATCCAGGTAACGCTGCACTCTTATAGGGATAGTTCTCAAGCGAGCTGCCAAGGCAGCTAAAATCTTGGTGAACACCCTGGGTGCAGAGGAGTGCCCAAATGGCATTGCCCTGTATTGGAAGTGTTTGCCGTCATAGCAGAAGCATAAATACTCTCTGTGAGCTTGACAAATTCTAATGTGAAGAAAAGCTTCCATTAGAACAATTGAGGTGAGGAAGTCACCCTCCCTGTGCTTGCCAAAATAGACTGCAGCGAATACATCCGGAAACTCTTGTACATCAAAAATTTATTGAGCCTTTTTAAATCCAGAATGGTTCTCCACCCCCCAGAGGCTTTGGGAATCACAGACAGGAGTAGAATCCCTTACCCTGTTGATTGACTGGTACCCACTGGATGGTCCTAATATCTAGTACAGGGGTGTCCAACCTTGGCAACTTTAAGACTTGTGGACTTCAACTCCCAGAATTCCTCAGCC